TCACCTTCAGCCCCCAACTAAAACCCCTCCAACGCATTATTAAGGATCTACAACCTATCCTAAAGGATGACCCAACACTCTCACAAGTCTTGGGAGACAGACCAGTCCTTGCCTACAGACAGCCCCGCAACCTGAAGCAAATACTCACCAACAACCACATACCACACAACAGAACCACTAACCCAGGAACTTATCCTTGCAACAAAGCCCGTTGCCAATTGTGCCCACATATCTATTCAGGGGACACCATCACAGGGCCTAATAACATCAGCCACACTATCAGAGGCTCGTTCACCTGCACATCCACCAATGTGATATATGCCATCATGTGCCAGCAATGCCCCTCTGCCATGTACATTGGTCAAACTGGACAGTCTCTACGTAAAAGAATAAATGGACACAAATCAGATGTCAAGAATTATAACATTCATAAACCAGTCGGAGAACACTTCAATCTCTCTGGTCACGCAATCACAGACATGAAGGTCGCTATCTTAAAACAAAAAAACTTCAAATCCAGACTCCAGCGAGAAACTGCTGAATTGGAATTCATTTGCAAATTGGATACTATTAATTTAGGCTTAAATAGAGACTGGGAGTGGCTAAGTCATTATGCAAGGTAGCCTGTTTCCTCTTGTTTTTTCCTACCCCCCCCAGATATTCTGGTTTTACTTGGATTTAAACTTGGAGAGTGGTCAGTTTAGACCAGCAGGAGAGTGAGTTTGTGTGTGTATGGGGGTGGGGGGGAAGTGAGAAAACCTGGATCTATGCAGGAAATAGCCCGACTTGATTATGTAAAGAGTTGTCACTTTGGATGGGCTAGCACCAGCAGGAGAGTGAATTTGTGTGGGGGGGTGGAGGGTGAGAAAACCTGGATTTGTGCTGGAAATGGCCCACCTGCTGATCACTTTAGATAAGCTATTACCAGCAGGACAGTGGGGTGGGAGGAGGTATTGTTTCATATTCTCTGTGTGTATATAAAGTCTGCTGCAGTTTCCACGGTACACATCTGATGAAGTGAGCTGTGGCTCACGAAAGCTCATGCTCAAATAAATTGGTTAGTCTCTAAGGTGCCACAAGTACTCCTTTTCTTCTTACTACTTTGAGGGTTCACTACAGCATTTGTTCTTACATTGCTGCTGAGATGTGAAGTAAGATGGTTGGTTTGGGTATGAATTAGAAAAGGTGCAGATTTGTAGAGAGCAGGATAATCAGGATGCTCTGCAAATATTGGGTTTAATCTTTAAATATAACATTTACTGTTCAGTGAAGTGACTTGAGATCCTATTTTATTATTCATATTAGGACAAAGCCTGCTTTCCTCATTGAGGCCGTGATTCAAGAAAGCACTCAACTTTAAGCACACGCTTTCCCATTGACTTCAATTTAGGATTTAGGTACATGCTTAATTTAAACATGTACTTCAGTACTTTCCTGAATAAGGATCCTTTCCTGAATCAGGACCTAAGAGTTTGAATCTAAAGCCCAATGACGTCAGTGTGGATTTTTCCATGAGCTTCAATGAGCTTTGGATAGGGCCATAAGTTCTACTTAGTTTCCCAGGCAAACTCTTGATGATGAAATTGTTTTTGAGCAAAGGCTTAGTAAGGATATTGTAGTTTGCTCATAAACTCACACTATGCCTCTGAGATATGATATTGCAAGAAAGCAATAGTTTAGTCTGCAGAAGAGAAGAGTGAGGGGGATTTGATAACAGCCTTCGACTACCTGAAGGGGGGGTTCCAAAGAGGATGGAGCTGGGCTGTTCTCAGTGGTAGCAGATGACAGAAAAAGGAGTAATGGTCTCAAGTTGCAGTGGGGGAGGTCTAAGTTGGATATTAGGAAACACGATTTCACTAGGAGGGTGGTAAAGCACTGGAATGGGTTACCTAGGGAGGTGGTGGAATCTCTATCTTTGAAGGTTTTTAAGGCCTGGCTTGACAAAGCCTTGGCTTGGAGGCTATGTAGCTTTTAGAGAAGCTGATTCAATATAGTGGAAAAGACAGTTAATCACCAACCGCTGATATCAAAGACTGAACACATGATGAGGGGAGGGTCAATGTTAAAAAAAGTAATCATATCTAAATTGGGCATCCTGCATGCGTGTGTGGTCAAATCCATGCTACCCTGGTGCTCTTAAGAGTAAAACATTGTCCTGTCTCTCATATAGAAAGCAATTCCTAGGTTTGCAATATGGTTACTGATTTCACAAGCCATTAATGATCTCTGTACAGCTAACATGCAGAAGATGCAGGGGGAAGCGGGGTTGTTTTAAGATTTTCCTGGAATGTTATTAATTTACAAAAAATAAAGTCAGTGGGCAGAACTAGCTCATTTCTAATGCTATCTTATTTACACTGAATATTCCAGTAGCACTACTAGCTATTCTTCCCAGGGTAGCTGCACTAGTCAATGGTAAGGGCCAAATCCTCAACGCTAGTACATGAGCCATGTACTAGCATGGGGAGATCTGCAGGGGTCTCTGTGGGGTAGGAATTCTCCCTACCAGGCCAAGGAACGGCAAAGGAGTCAGTGAGGCCCACAGGTGATGGAACTAGGGATGCTGCTGCACTGCCTGGCTCCAAGTGGTTTCCATTATATACAGGGTTTACAGTTTGGTTCAATGGCTCTCAGCACCCTCACTATAAAAATTGTTCCTGCACCCCTGCTGTAGGCAGCCCAAGGTGGTAGTAGGCCCCACAGCTAGTTACATCTCTTCCCTTCAGAGACGCGTGCATGCATACACATCGGAACATGTCTGGTGGGTCTAGGTGCTGGATGCTCTAGCACCATTCACAATTCTATCCTGTGGGGGCAAAGTCCCTGCCATTCTTCATAGTGTACAGTGCTACAGATATCATCCCCTCTCCTTACCCCTCGGACAAGTCTCATGCAGCAGAAACACACACATTCTACATTCAGGGCCCTCTGCTTCTCAAAAGGGGTTTGTCCCAGATCAACAAGGAAGGACTGAGCAAGAAAAGAACGGAATAAGAAGAAAGGGTAAAAGTTGTGTAATTAGCCTCTTTAAAAAAATGCAAAAATGTTGCAGTGGTTACTGTCATCACAGCTTCTCTGAAAACAGCCAAAAATATGAAACAGCCAACAACCCTTGAATGAAATAACTAGTGTAACAAGTGAGAGGTAGCTAACAGGGCCCAGGTCAGATCATCTTTCTCAAAGCAGTGGAGTATGTGTGCCTACAAGGTTGGTGCAGAAAAAATACACTTTTGCCCCTTAACACGAGGCCCCCTCACAATAAGGCTTCCAGCAGTACACACTTCCTCCCAAGATCCTGAAGATGATTGATAGCCTCAGTACTTGGTGCCTGTTCCACCATCTCTAGGCTTCTCAGTGCTCCAGTGGGTAGATCCCTTGCTGTGGTTGGATGAGCAAAAATAACCCTGCCACACTTCATAGTGCAGAGAATACAGAACTGCTCAACCTGCTCTCTGCTATCCAGGCAGCAGAACCACACCAGTCTTGGTGTGTTTTGACTCTTTGCTAACACCAGTCTTTGGACGATGTTTTGAATTTTCAAATCCCCATCGATCTCCCTCTTCTTTCCTTTCACTCACTCACTACCTGCCTGCCAAATATATTAGTGTCTCTAATCTCTTCCAAGACCCACATTCTTCCTTCATGTTCTCGGTTTCTTTTCTTCCTTCTTTGCAAAGCCCTCATTTCCCTAAACATCCCCACCTCTCTTGTCCCAAACCTTCATTCTGCCACCCCCCCTGGAATGTTTCCCAAATGGCCACAGCCTATAACAGCCCCCATTCTACACAATCACAGAAATATGATAGCTCATCTAGTCCAGTCCCCTGCACTGAAGCAGGACTATGTAAACCAGGGGTTCTCAAACTGGGGGGCAGGACCTCTCAGAGGTCGCGAGATTATTACATGGGGGGTTGTGAGTTGTCAGCCTCCACTCCAAACCCTGCTTTGCCTCCTGCATTTATAATGGTGTTAAATAAATTTAAAAGTCGCACTCAGAGGCTTGCTATGTGAAAGGGGTCACCAGTATAAAAGTTTGAGAACCACTGATGTAGACCATCCCTGACATGTATATGTCTAAACTGTTCTTAAAAACCTCCCATGACCAAGACTCCACAACCATCCGGACTAATTTAGTTCAGTGTTTTACAATTCGAGAAAGTTTTTGCTAATATCTAAGCTAAATCTCCCTTGCTGCAATTTAAGCCTACAACTTCTTGTGCTGTACTCAGTGGGTAAGGAGAACAATTTATCACCCTGTGCCTTATAACAACCTTTTATGTACTTGAAGATGGTTATCAAGTCCCCTTTGGTCTTCTCTTTTCCAGACTAAACAATCCCAGTTTTTTCTCTTTCCTTGTAGGTCATGTTTTCTAAACATTTAATAATTTTTGCTGTTCTCCTTTAGACTTTCTCCAGTTTCTGAATATCTTTCCTGAATTGTGGTGCCCAGAACTGGATACAATACTCTAGTTGAGGCCTTATCAGCTTCTCATCAAGGTCTTTCTGAACCTCCATTTCCCCCTTAGCCTTCTCTCGGGGGTGGGGGAGGGTGTCTGTCCCATACATCACACTCACCCCTGCTCAGTTCCTCAAGAGGACCCTCATACAGGTCACCCAGCTTTACTAGCTCTCCACAGTGAGTCCCCTTGTATATGTCCACCTCCCATCCTCAGCTCCCCTTCCCAAGGGGTCCTCCCATACATACTGTGCCCTGCACCTGCTCCTATCCCCAGTACCTCTCACCAAGGGATCCCCTTATACCTGTATCCTCCTACTCAACAGGGTGCGCCTTCAACAGGGTGCGCCCCCCTCCACTTGCTCATCTCCCCTACAAAGCAGGCTGAAATTTGGGGGACACAATGACAATGTTTTAGGGAGTTGGATGTAACAGGTTTTCCCTCCCCGCACCCCCACTGTACCGTAACCATCACCCCCCCATTCTCTGTGAAAGAATGCTGTGGGGTTAGCAATATCACACAGCAAATTAAAAGGTAACCTACCAACAGGGGTGACCAACAAGCAAAGAGAACACACATGATCCCCAACAGCTGGACCAGTGTTTCCATGGTGATTCTCCCCCACTGCTTGCTGGACTGAGATGCTGAGGGTTTGGTCCTGCACCGAGCCACTAAAGCTTTGATCGTGGCCAAGTTACATGCCATGGTGACAATCAGAGAGCAAAGTCCCAGAAAGGCAAAGGCTGAAGCGAAGAAGGTGTTGCCCGCAACGGGGTTGTCCCTGGCGTGGATGAAACACCAGGTGCCTGGCCACTGCAGGGTGTACTGCCCTAAGCCAGCTATGGGCAGGAGGGCAAAGACAAACACTGCCAGCCAGATGCTGAGCAAGACAGTCTTGGTCACCCTGGTTCGCATGTGGCTGGCGTACCAGTGAGGCGCTCTGATGGCCAGGGTCCTTTCTACAGCCATGGCACTGGCGATGAAGAGGGGGCAGAGGCCGAAGACGGTCATGCAGAACCCAAAGAAGGTGCACAGGTTGCCCGAGGGGTCCAACTCCTGCCAGTTCCTGTTGGCCTGATACACGGCGATGACCACGGGGCTGGTGAGGAGCTGGCCGGTGAGGTCGGTCAGCGCCAGGGAGCCGATGCACAGCAGGAAGGACTTCTTCCGCGTGTTCTCCGTCTTCTGGCAGGCGCGGTACACCAGCAGCATGGCCAGGGCATTGCCCACCGTGCCCGTCAGCATCATGCTCAAGGGGAACGCCACCGAGACCGAGCCGCACCCCGCCGCGGGGCGCGCCGTGCCGTTGCCGGCCCCCCGCGCGGCGCCGCCCCACGGCCTGGGGGCGGTGTGGTTGTAGCGGCCCCACACACAGAGCTGAGGGGGCGTCATGCCGCCGGCTTGGCGCGGGAGCGGAGCCGCAGCAGCAGCCCAGCCACGGCCGCGCTGCCCCAGCCCATGGCGGGGAGCTCCGGCTCAGTGGGCAGAAGGGACCAGCCGCCGAGCTATAAGGCAGAGGAGGCGGGGCCCCGGGGCTTCATTCATCCAGTTCTGCTTGAGGGGGGGCGCGTCCCACCCCCGAGAGGCTGGCAATCGGGCGGCTTGCGGCCAGCAAACCGGCGCGACGGGGGGCGGGGGACTGCCACTGGCTGCGTCCTGCGCGCGAGCCGCCGGGCGCCGCGCTGCCGGACGAGACTGAGCGAGGCGCCCGGTTTCCAGCGGTGACAGCGGTAACCGAGCCCCGGGGCAGGGCAGGCGGGGCGGCCACGGCGGGCGCGGCGCCGCATCACGCCTGGGGCTGCAATCCGGCTCAATGCGACGCGTGGCGAAGTTGCCGCAGACGTTCTGCTGCTGGTCACATTCTTCCTCCTACAGATTGTTCCTGACAGGGAGCTGTGTGTGTGTGTGTGTGTGGTCCGGGGAGACTCGGGACCATTACAGCAAATCACGAGGTTTCCTTTTATTTATTGGTAATTTGGGACGCGGGGGACGAGAGCAAAAGGAACAACCGAGTACTTAGAAGTGAAGGGGGCTATTGGCGCCATCTAGCTAGACATTAACACGCACGCAAAAATCCATTCAGACAGCTGCTCTGTTACGTTACACAGTCGCTAGCTCCATAGTTTTAATAGATTTTCTGTATCTATGCCTTCTTACTTCTGGCCAATAAAGCGAGAACCCAGCAGTTTCCTTTGGTAAACCTTAAACGCTTGTAAATCAAGTCCAACTTTATTTGCAAGTGCCTGTATAGACCTGGCACTATGACTGGTGATTATAAGAATAAAAGGAAGTAGAAAAGATGCTTTATCCTTCCCTGGAATTATCTGGTTTGACAGCGCTTTCCCACTGCTTTCTCGATTTAAAAATCAGCTACACTGGAATGGAATTTACACCTTTACCATTGTCTTCCTTATTAATCGGCCCATTAAATACATTTAACATTAATTAAAATTGTTAGAAGAAAAGGAGTACTTGTGGCACCTTAGAGACTAACCAATTTATTTGAGCATGAGCTTTCGTGAGCCACAGCTCACTTCATCAGATGCATACCGTGGAAACTGCAGCAGACTATATACACACAGAGAATATGAAACAATACCTCCTCCCACCCCACTGTCCTGCTGGTAATAGCTTATCTAAAGTGATCAGCAGGTGGGCCATTTCGGGTGCTTTTTATTCTCCTCTTGCCTCTCATCTTCAACTTAAATTCACACCACAGCTGTTTTCTCTTCTTCATGTGGCGCTATATCCTAGAATCCTTACTTATGTATAAATTGCACTGATTCCAGCCCTTAATTTCTTTTATCCAGTACAATAACATCATTGCTAGTGAAACCCAAGTTATTATCCTGACATAAACATCACCTCTGTGGGTATCTATGAATATTATTGGATCATAAACACCAATTGTTGTCATTAACATCAAGCATCAGTATAGAATAGACCGGGGTGGCCAACCTGAGTCTAAGAAGGAGCCAGAATTTATCAATGTACACTGCCAAAGAGCCACAGTAACAGGTCAGCAACCCCTGATCAGCTCCTCCCCTCCTCTGAGCACCTTCGCCCACCGGCAGCTCCACCACTCAGCACCTCCCCATCATCTGTTTCATGGAGTGCAGTAGGCTGGGGGAGGGGGAGGAAGGGGAAGGAGCGAGGGCATGGCAGGCTCAGGGCAGGATGGAGTGGGGGCAGGCGTGTAGCAGAGCCAGAGGCTGAGCACATTGTAAAGTTGGCACCTGTAGCTCCAGCCCCAGAGTCAGTGCCTATACAAGGAGCCGCATATTAACTTCTGAGGAGCCACAGGCTGGCCACCCCTGTAATAGACTATTGGAGTTGTTTTGGCATAGGACAAACAAAATGAGCTATCAGCTTTCTCTTTAGAAATCAAAATTTGCCAGATATTAATTCATAATATTTATGTTGCTCCTTTCATATCAGGTTAAGGAGGAATAGAGCAAAACTAAAAACAGGGTGAGGCACAGTTTTTAAAATGTTGTGGTAGTGGAGGAAAAAAAATTTTTGGTGGGGGAACTTCATCCCTACTCCCCAGCCTTTGAGGACACTTTATCATTTCTTCAGGTAAAAATCCATTTTAGCCAAACAATGGAAGTCTTAGTTTTAAGTAACTAACATTGCAGGACATTGTTTTGTTACTGGAGTTATTTTATTCAGGTGTGGCACTTTTGAATAGACGAATAATAAATCTGGGGGAAAAGTAGTCCTACAGAGTGAGTTTAAGGTATCTATTCTGCCATCTTAGGGAAGTTTGATTAGTTTTTCACTTTTGTATAAATGAAAACCTGCCATCCGGGTCCAGCTTACAGGTTTAGTGCGCCATCTTAGGGGACATAATTGCTAAGTTCAGGTATCCTCACTGGCAGATAATACTTTATCATTCAAAGAGATAAATTCAGGTTTCATTAAAAAAAAAAACAAAAAAACACAAACAAACCCAAATTTAACAGAAATATTTTCATGAAAAAATGTTGAATGCAACAAACCTGTTTGTAACACAAACATTTCAGTATTCTACTAGTGACTGAGAACCAGAAAGTGGAACTGAAGATAACACAACCAGTTCTAACACACCTGCATCCAACAATCTCAAATAGGCTTTACAATCATTACATCTGAGGCTTTTTAAAGCTGCCTAATGGGTTTAGACACCCAATTCACATTAAAATTGGATATCCAAATCATTAGGCAGCTTTGAAAATCTCAGCTAAGTATACACATCTCACTGCACCCATGTGAGAGTATCTATCTAACTTATATGGCCCCAATAACCACAGTATCTGAGTCTCACCATTTTTGATGTACATTCCCCACATCATCTGTGTGAGGTAGGGCAAAGCTATTCTTCTCATGTAGAGATGGGGTATTGTGGCCCAGAGAGATTAAGGCCAAGACCCAAATAGGTCCTAACTCCCATGACTTTCAATGGAAATTAGGAGGCTAACTATCTTTGAGGAGCTAGGCCTAAGTGACTGGCCCAATGTCACATAGGAAAGTCTGTGGTAGAGCTGGGACTTGAACCTAGGTGTCCTAAGGCTTAGCTTGTGTCCTAACCACTGGACCACCTGTCCTCTCTTGTATTAGCTCCCTTTTACAAGTGAAAACAATGAGGAGTACTTGTGGCACCTTAGAGACTAACAAATTTATTTGAGCATAAGCTTTTGTGGGCTAAAACCCACTTCATCAGATGCATGGAATGGAAAATGCAGTAGGCAGGTATAAATACACAGCACATGAAAAGATGGGAGTTGCTTTACCAAGTTGGGGGGGCAGTGCTAATGAGATAATTCAATTAAAGTGGAAGTGGGCTATGCTCAACTGAGTTTAGGGAGGTCAGGGAACTTGCCCATGATCGCAAACACGTCTGTTAACAGCAACAGGATTACTGCACCACACGTGTCTCCTGTTTCCCAGTCCTCTTCTTGATCTAAGTTGTGAGAAAGAGGCTGAAATCAACTTGATTATTTTCATTGTTGTAGCTGATAAGTACAAAAGATAGAAAACAGCCTAAATGAAGAACACTAAATTAGCTTAACTCAGCCACTTGCAGCACAATCCCTGTGGAAGGGGTGGGGGTGGTCATCAGCACTGAGTGCTGCTATTTGGCCAAACTTTTTGGTATAGACAATTCCATGGTGTATGCCATTGTGTTAGATGTCTGCACAGTGATACAGCAACTCCTACTGCCCTGCATAAATATTGCAGCAAATGTGCATGAGCTCATGAAAGCCTAAGGTGGGAAAGGGTACATGACTGCACCGTAATTCAGATTCTAAAGACCAGGAGTGACAGTTCTGCTCAGCTTAGTGACAAGTCTGACCTCCTAGATGACACAGGTCATAATAATGACCCCCCATTTCCTTTCCCAAGCCCTCACCCCCTGCAATCTCATTTCTGCTGAGTTCAAATGCTGACTGCTTTTTTATTTTACTTTGTTGCTAAAGTAGTACAGGGAATTGCATTTGTCAGAAACAACAGCACCATCCAGTGATTTGTTGTGTTAATAACTTGGTATTTTTCACTCATACAGTATTTCAGAGACTATTTAAATCAGCTTTCTTCATGAAAGGTGCCAGCTGATATCTGGCTGGAAGTGAAATTATTTGCATAAGAAATGTACTAAATGCTAATTTTTGGCACTACATGCTATTTGTGCTTCATAGATTTATCTGTATATGAGTATTCAGCTCTGCCTTTATTTTTAGTGGAATAGCTATTTTATGCACATTAATCAATCTTAATGGTGTTGGAGATTTGACTCAACAGTTCTAGTCATGAGAATGTGAGCAAGATTTCTGTATTTATTGAACCCTGGCACATGTGGTTAATTACATAATGCAGTAGATAGAAATTGTCTTGAGCTTTTCTTGTTTTTTTCTTGGGTGACTTAAAGGCTCACAAAAAAGGTGGGTACCAGCACCACAGAGATTACAGCCCTCTGTGTAAATTTCTCCATGGGTTGTATTTAGCCTCCTTGCACATTTAGCCCCTTGGCACTGTACTGAGACCACCAGCAAGCCTGGTTACTAACATGGTAGTTTTCAGATGGGGATGCTTACCCCTTAGCAACTGAACCCTCATCTAACTCATCTCTCATATGTCAATCAACCATCAGATGTCAATTACTTCAACTTTCTCCTGACCTAGCCTAGATTCATGCTGTTACTGACAGGCACCAAGATCTGTGCCCCATTGCCAGTTCCTGAGATACTCTGCTGCCACCATCAGTTGCAAGGCTCTTTTCTCCCAGACTGCTACACAGTTAGGTCAGATCTCCTCTACTATGTCAACACTCCTAAATGCCTGCAGTCTCCCTCACCTCACAACAACTACTTTGCTGTTCTCAGTTACTCTCCTTTGGCCAATCCTAGCCCCCTTGATGTAGTAGTTTCCAATAAATAAACGGAACATACAGGATGATATGTCACAGCCTGTCCTCTTCAGTTCAGCAACAAGACATTAGAGATGCCCTGGGTCAGGCCTCCTATTTCATGTTAACATTAATGGGTGTTTCACAACCAAATTAACATACATACATTGTTAAAAATATAGCTGAGAACGTTCTCTCCGCTTTCTCAAGCCCTAGCACATTGCTGCTAGAAAAGCAATGTTGAGTCCACTCTTTTGTTCTCAAGAATAAGGCCCTACACTAATTCTGAAGACCCAAAACAAGAGAATGATTACATATTGCATGTGTTAAGGGACTGCTAGGCAGCGCTTAGAAAAATCTTTAGAACATTATACCAAGCAAGGATTTTTGCCCAAATTCAGCTAGGAAGCTACAAGAATCCTCTGTCAGCCATTGTTTAAGGTAATTTAAAGGGGAGGGAGGGATGGGCTTGTATCTTGTAAAGGTGGTTTTATTTTTTTTTAAACTCTTCATTTTGTACATTATCAAGAGTCTCAACTATTGTTTTTTTTTCTTATTTTGCTGGAGGTTTCTGGTGGAGGAACTAGAGATGAGGATTTGAAGCTCCCTTGTCTCTTAAAAGAAGGGGCAGAGGTGTTCAATCTTTACAGCTGGTATTCTCACTGTTTAGAAGGCATTTGAATTAAATGGTTTTTAATACCCAATAGCTGAAAATAGTCCAGATAAAAGTCACTTCTTTCCTCAGTCGGCCTCGGTGATATCACAAGTTCTCCAAAATAGTTCAAAAAGTGTATCAAAGACATTAAAGTTCTCTTCTTTTACAATGCTGTCACCGACAGTAAAAAGATAATAGATACAAACAATTCATTTCAGGAATTCCAAAGCTCTTAAGTGACAGAGCACTGTAGTCCAATTTTATGAAAACTTTTTTTTTTTTTTTAAGTTTTAGATCATTAAAAAAG